GGCGGTGGACATTGAGCTGAAATTTTATCTGCAAAAAAAAATTGTTTTTAGTTTTATATTGTAAAAATAACTAATTATAAATAGCTACCTATCTTAAATAGAATGCTGCTTGTTGCTTCAACTTTGAAATTGAATTTTACAAAACACACCTGCACATAAACAACGATTACTAACGCAAAATCTGAGAAAAATTACCCAACACCGTTTCGTCAAATTGTGCACTGCACCATTACGTATGGGAAAACGGAATAATAATTTTTGTCAAGCGCTATTCAGATAAAAACCTAATTAACGGAATTACCATAAAAAATCCAATAATCATAAAATATTAAAGAAACTGATTTAATTTAACACTAGTAACAACGAATCCATTTTTACAAGGTTGAATTTAGATTTTGAGAATTATTATACCAACTTATTCATCTGGATACCTGGTAAAAAAAAAACGATACCTAACAATAGATTTATAATTTGTAAGGTCATAATACTTTGTGTGTCATCAGGATGCAATGGAGGTTAAAGGCTAAAAAAACATTTGAAAAGTTTGGGGATGAATAATGATTGAAACAGAAATTACTTGTAATTAAATCTGTGAATGATTTTTGATTTATTTTTCCAGGCATCTTTTGATTGGGAATTTGAAATTTATAAGAATCTATTCCAAATTGTATGTATATACTTGAAAGTCCAGCTTATTATTTATATTCCATGAAAATTATTACAAATATGTGATTGCAATGCAAATAATTAATCGTAATGTTATTTCTTAAGATTTCTTGAAATCAGTTGATTAACTTTATTGAACGGATATCGTCCCATCAATGATAACTTTAATGGAACTTTGTTTATGATCTGTTCAAGAACTCTATCACACTGAAAAAAATGTTGGTTCAATGAAAGTAAATAAAAATACCTGATAAAGTAAAAACTGATGCACAAAACACGAATAATATAAGAACATTTTAGAGACTGCGGCCAGCATGAGGAATACTTAATTTATTAATCGCAAGCTACTTTCTATCAACGTTGAAATGTTAAAATGAATTGCCACACTTCGTGAATTGAACTTTCCTAATTAGTACAATTTATTTTTAATAAAATTGAATTTTTGGTTAGGTAAAATAAATTTATATTATAGATATTAAAATAGGAAGGAACTATTTAAAACAAATTCTTATTAAACATTCCTTGAGTCTTTCTATAGAAAAGGTACACTTACTTTTGTTAATTTTCCTATTTAATTGCAAATTTTTCATAAAAATATCGAAATCTGTAGCAGACAATTCGAAACGCCCCGATGGACACACAAAAAGTATAAATGATTGAAAAATAACCGGCGAGTGTTTCCTCCCACTAAACACACCGACTGAATTGCAATTTTCATTGTTATTGCTGTCTGGTTATGGCATACAATAATTTTCATACCAAAAATAATAACCCACTTTAATTGGTTATTATCATCGCTATACAATAATAGGCATGGGTAATCTATACAGGGTATGTCAATTTATTAGTAAAACTCAGGTGAACTTTATTACATTCTAAAAGCATAATTCAACTTATTCACACCTATCTGTTTGTTTCCAATAACCGTCTAATCATCTATTCGGTGTATTTTTGAAGAAAATATATACAGCATAATAATTATTAGGTCACTAATTAATTTAGTGATACCAATCACATATTTAGGAAAACATTGCAAGTTTATGTATTTCTTTCTTTGTGAAGGGTAGGTACACAAGTACAGGGTGTTTTTTTATATATTGACACCCCACCTACAGTCTTTACCTTTACAGGTAGAAGAAAGGCGTAAATACAAAAGTTGTACAGTTTTGACTGAATTTTTAGAAACCATGGTCATAAAAAAAAAATTGAAATTTTGCATGCTTCCAGCTTTTTTCAAATGGGATGCCCCATATTTCATTCTATATTCTATTCTATCTATTCTTGATGAGCACAATGCCCCGATTCCAAAAATATATAGTTTGTCTATATTTGATTGAACAGTCTCTCATATATTCGGCTCCAAAAATTGTAAAAATACTATCCTACTACTGATTTTGTGAACCATTCTACCTGTACAGGTGAAAGCTGCAGGTAAAATTTGAGGTACTTGGTTTTTCTGATAGTATTTTAAAAAATTTTTAGAACCAAATATGTTGGAGACGGCTCAACCAAATATAGACAAACTAAATAGTTTTGAATTTAGCCAATACTGTACAACTTTTGTATTTACACCTTTCATCTCATTGTAAAGGTGAAGGCTGCAGGTGGGGTGTCAATATATAAAAAAACACCCTGTACTTGAATAATGACTTATTATATAAAGTCAAGATTATCCAATTTTTGTCGATTTGCCTTTTAACAGGAATTAGTAAAGTTTGTTTTTTATTTAAAGATAATTCCCCAAGTCAAAAATTTAGTAACTATGTTGGCAACACAAGCCTTTTCTACATAAAAAAATTGACAGTTTTACATTGTATTGCCAACATATTGTCATTTTGACTTTTATCTTTGAAAAAAAAAACACACTTTAATGTTACTTTACCAAACTAGTAACATAACGTGACAAGTTATTCAAGTACAAACGAGTGGATTGTTGCGGAACTTATGGGTGGACCAGTCATCTATTTATTAATACGTTGTTCAAGTACGATACTAACCTGACTCACTCAAATGTCAGTTATTCTCATTAGTTCAACAGTATGCTAATGAGTAGATGGCTGCGCAACTCGCTGCGCTCGTCCCACAGAGGTCCACCCATAAGTTCCGCAATAATCCACTTATTTGTACTTGAACAATAATTTATTATATAAAGTGAAAATTTGTAAGATTATGATTATTTACTTTTTGTCAATTTGCCTTTCAACAGGAATTAGTAATGTTACTTAACCAAACTAGTAACATAATGTAACAAGTTATTCAAGTACAAATGAGTGAATTGTAGCGGAACTTATATGTGGACCTCTGCGGGACGAGCGCAGCGAGTTCCGCAGCCATCTATTCATCAATATGTTGTTTAATTATGATACTAACCTGACTTACTCAAATGTGAATTATTCTCATTAGTTTAAAAAGTACACGTTTCAGGTGAATGTCTTACTTGAACAGTTCAACAGTATATTGATGAGTAGATGGCTGCGGAACTCGCTGCGCTCGTCCCGCAGAGGTCCACCTATAAGTTCCGCATTCCGCAACAATCCAATTATTTGTACTTGAACAATAACTTATTTTATAAAGTCAGAATTTGTAAGATTATCCACTTTTTGTCAATTTGTCTTTTAACAGGAATTAGTAATGTTATTTTACCAAACTTGTAATATATTGTGACAAGTTATTCAAGTCCAACGGGTGGATTGTTGCGGAACTTATGGGTGGACCCAGTCATTTATTCACCAATATATATTGTTCAATTACGATACTAACCTGACTCACTCAAATGTGAGTTATTCTCATTAGTTTAAAAAGTACACGTTTCAGGTGAATGTCTTATTTGAACAGTTCAACAGTATATTGGTGAGTAAATGGCTGCGGAGCTCGCTGCGCTCGTCCCGCAGAGGTCCACCCATAAGTTCCGCAATAATCCACTTATTTGTACAGGGTGTTTTTAATGACACTCCACCAACAGCCTTTACCTGTACAGGTAGAAGAAAGGTGTTAATACAAAAGTGGTACAGTTTTGGCTGAATTTTTAGAAACCAATACTACTACGTAGTAGTATTGTCTTTGTCTACGTGTAAAAGGTAAAGGCTGTAGGTGGGGTGTCAATAATAATATATAAAAAAACACCCTGTACCTTAATTATTCCCAATATATAAGGCATTTGCCGTCATATTTGTTGTTCATTGTGTAGTGTTTTCCCTTTGTTTTTAATAATAAATACTATCTAATAATACTTCATGTTCATATTAATTGTCATTTGCTTCACAGAGACCCGACCGATGTGCTTGGTCGGTTAAACAGCTAAAGTTCATTATTCTTTTCCGACCCTCATTTTATCATCCTCAATTTATAAATTATTGTTACATTGTTGGTAAGGTCAAATGGTTGTTGTAAATGTCCAAATAGGTTTTAAATTTTCATGATTGTGTGAACTTTCGAAAATAACACTGTAATCAGGCGTGAGAAACACCCTTTGGATTTAGGTAGGATCTTTGCTGCCTTCTGGATGTGGAAAGAGGATTTTGGGAAGAGAGTCAGTCATGAGATAACTTTCAGTCAGAAGACAGCTTTGGTTAGAGACACATTTTTTGTAAGACTCTCTTTTGAATCACACATTCTATAATGAAAAGTATTTTACACAGAAGCTACATACCATTGCGATTTGATAAAGGTTTCCTGTTAATTAACGCACTAGTCATCGCTCCATAATTAGCAATTGTCTTTGTAGATAGGTTAATCTTTAATTATTGGCGTTTCGTGGCATGAATTGGCCAGGGTAGAAATTTCATTGTGACTGAAATGCAAAATTATTGATTATGGATCAAGAATTAGTAACCTAGATTCCTACCTTTTATTATGAGGAATCCTATCCTTTTATATGTCATTTTAAGGAAATTACCCCTTATTACTTTATTTGTAAATTTGTTATCTTAAAAAAAAATACCATGATAGTTATCATGAATTTAGTAATTTTTCCTAAGAACAGATCCGGCATTTTTGGAGGTTACCTACTGTCTCCCATAAAATCAATAAAACAGCAGCGAATCATTACAAATGCTGATTTAAAAAATCCCTACAATGGAAAACAGGGTTTAGTTTAAATTCGCACAAAAATATAAACTATTTGCCTCTACAACAAGGACATTTTTTACTTGATAAATATCAATTATTCTTTACAAAATGTTTACTCTACTTACATTTTGTATTGTCCATTTTCTTCTGGGAGAAAATATCAAACATTATATTATAATTATTGCGTCTTCCACAAGCTTCCAATACGGATTATATTGTAAAGTACTTTCATGGTTAATAAATACTAGATAAATTAAATACATACATGCAATTGTTAAAACATGTTTAATTTGGTTTTAAGTAACATACAATATAATAAATTAGAAGATAAATTACATTATTGCAAATAAATTAGAAAAATAAGATTTTTAATAAAGCTTAAATTAACACTGCCATAAGAAAATTATTTATTGTTCGATACCTATATATTTCTTTGTATACTATTAACAAAATAAATCATTGAAAAAAATTGCATTCGCGTTATTATTATTCAGTCATCTATGTCAACCATGTGACCAGTAACAGTTTCAGACTGATGATATCGCCTCCTATTGGAAAAATCTTCATTGTCTTCGTTTAATTGTGCTGTAGAAACATCCAGTCCTGGATGTACAGGGGTAACGACAATTTGTTCGTAATCAGTTACTCTTTTTCCGAAACAGCGCAAAAGTACGCTTTTAAGCCATCGCAGAAAATGGAATTCACTAGCTATGCCTGGTTTAACTGCTGGATTGGCTGTTCCTATATATAACCAGACTAGGAACACCACACTTAAACATGCAACGGCATATACCCAGCTAACCAAAAACATTATTAGAATTTTTATTAAGGCACCAACCAGGGACAACCATCTGTTACATAAATGCGAATACCAGTTTTTTTGTTTGGAATGTATATGATTTTTTGGCGAAATGGGTGTTGTTTCTGAGTTTTCTGTTGTAGGACTAGATGGAGAATTGGTGCTTGATTCTCCCCGTAAAGTTCTATGTCTTGTGCGTTCAGGAAACAGTCTATCTAAATCGTTTGAATCTGAATCTACGCTAATTGTGGCTTGAATTCTAGGTCTATGAAATCTTTGTTCTCTCTGGTGTTGTTTATCAAAAGTTTGTGCCAAAGCAAAATACGAATAATCTATACAAGCGTACGTTAATAAATAAGGCATCGTCACAATTGGAGCTAGTGTATTTATATTTCCTATTAAAATAAAGCCAAAAGTTACAGTTGCAACCACTGCCATGGCATACAATGGCACTTTATTTGGTCCTCTGCCCATACCTAGTATTCCAATACCAGGTATAACATTTTCTAAGGCAATAGATTGTAGTACTCTGGGTGTTCCATACATGGCTCCCAAACAACTAGACATAGATGAAACATATAAACCAGCTAAAAACAGTACTCCTATTGAAGAAACTTTAGCAGCAATCATATAATCTTCTTGTAAAAATTGTCTAGTGCAAGTGGCTCCCAAAAATAATATAAAAACCAAATAGAGGAACGTGGCGAAGCTGATAGCAGCTAAAGTGCCATTCGGTATATTAGTGGAAGGAGCTTTCAGGTCTCCACTCATATTAATTCCAGATAATATACCAGTGATTGTTGGGAAAAATACTCCAAAAACTGCAAACATTCCGTAGCCATCAGTGTAATTTGACCATAAATTCAATTGCATATTATTACTAATCCATCCATCAAACCCATTCGCTTCATCAGTATGTACAAAGCTACCTACCATAAAATCTAAGGCAGCCAACAATAAAATAAGTAACAAAATAAACTGGAGTTTGATAACCCATTTTACTCCAGCAATATTAATGCTGCTCAGTAGAATAACAGCCGCTATTGCAATAAGTCTGACTGCCCACGTTGAATCTCCGAATCCTATTAGCTCAGCCATAGACTCTCCAAAACCGAGGACATTTAATGCACATCCCACAGCCTGCCCGAAACAGTATAATAAGCCCAAGGAACCACCAAACCTGGAACCAAGGACATGCCCCAGGACAAAATAAACTCCTCCACTTTCTATTCTACATCTCTCACAAATCCCTACTGCTGATAATACTGATACTAAGGCAGTTGCTACTGTTGATAAAATTATTAAGACAGCACTTATCACTCCAGCCTGACTCACGATCCAACCAGACCGTAAAAATACAATTACTCCAAATATATTGATTAGGCACGATGTGAAAACGCCATCCCACGTTCCAAAAAGCACAGGTTGTGATATGAAAAAGTTGGATTTCCACCAAGGCACGTCTCCTTGTTCTTCAGCGAACAGCTCGTTGGCACCTGAAGCTTGATGACCGCCTGCTGCATAGTGTCCTTCGGTTGATAAGTCCACAAAGCCACTTACATTTGCTCGTCCTCTTTGCGCGGTTTCGTTTCCTAGACCGTACTTGGACCAATCTATGTCTTTATTTCTTTCTCCTCTGGTGCCTTCCATCTTGGACCTTGAACAAAAAACATAATTTTTCAGGTGATTCGTTATACAACAAAAAAATATTAACAATGTACTTAGCACCAAAAACAAGAAAATTGAATACATTGAAGTTACATTTATTTATTTATTTATTAACGTATCAACATTTACAAGTTTACAACTTAACTTAAACTAACTAACTTGAAACAGCCCTTTTTGCACAACTCTTAATTTTTTTATGGGAAACATCAAAGAATTCTAGTAGTGACTCACAAACCCTATTCACATTCGCTGACACTCTGTTAACAAGACGTTACAATAAGTACCAAGAATTGCAAATTGGTATATGCATCAAGATCTGCCTACGTGTTGGATATGGAGTAATGGAGTAATCGGAGTAATATTTGATAGTTTGCCCACCTTTCAGCTTTGTCAAAGAGCTTGAACATGAGTCAGAAAAACCCTGTGTTGATATTTTCTGATCAAAACTGATTTTTTTCTTTTATCCGTGAAAACAGCGCAGAAAACTTCAATCGTAAAGGCCAAACATTGACTATTTTGAACCAGTGATAAAGAAATCAGTATAAGTTTAAGATATACAAAAATTGACAAGAATATACATACAAAACACCTTATATCAAAACATTTAGATGCAATATGTCAATACTAACCCCACCGGATCCAAAAAAATGCTCAGTAACCGCATGATAAGCCTTCTCTACAAGCAGTCCCTTCCAAATTTAGGAGAATCCTGAATAATTTTTTTTGTCATACGCTCCCAAAAACAGCTATTTTACGGACTCATTCAAGTCCGTAAAATACTTCTTTTTAGGATTTTTTTTTTTTGGATGCACCTTTATGATCTCAAAAATTAAGGAAATTTTGCAAATTTTAGCGTTCTGAAGAATTATGAAAAGCGTATGACAGAAAATAGTGTTTGTCACACTTACCTAAAGAAGTTTTTCAGGACTCATCTGCTATTCCGGACTCGGCTGACGCCTCGTCCGGAAACAACAATGATTCGTCCTGAAAAACTTCATTTTAGGTACTTGTGACAAAAATTACTATTGAAAAAGTGCACTTTTCATCTTTTTTGTACCTGGCAGCAGAATTACTCATTATGACCAACCCTGTAAAATGTAGAACAAATTTTCTTGCTCAAACGTAATATGCAGGACATCTCTAAGCGAGTCTCTAAGTTATTTCCAAAATTTAAACTTTCTACGAATCTCAGTGACGTAGTGATACAAATTCAACTAGAGAGCTATGTTTTGACGAAAAAATATAGAAATTAGTCGAAAATCACTAACGATAGGTATAGGAGAGTATTATACAAAAATAATCAGAAAGTAATAGAGGAGCGGAAAATGCAATAATATACAAGGTGTCTCATTTAAAATGTTAAACTTTATATTACTTTTTGGTATAAGGAGAAATTACTTGGGCATGCAAATTTTCCTCGAAATTTTCAAACAAATCCAATTTTCCGTTTTCCATAGGCATCCAATGTATCATCGACCATCAATCACCCTGTATATTCTTCCAACTTTAGGTCTTCTTAGTTGCTTTATTTTAGAAAAACTGATATTAGCCAAAACCAAAAAAATCATTAAATGTGTTTCTTAAATACTGAACATTAAGCAGTAGCATTGACACGCAACCATCCTTATTAGTCCAGGAGGCAGTGAAATTTTTCAGCACTTATTTTCCCAGTTGGTGTCTAGGGATGTAAATGTAAATGACGGTCATTTATTTTTTGTGATAGGTGACAGTAATTTTTTTGTCATTTTTGTCATTTATTGTCATTTATGGTCATTTATCTTCAATGTAGAACATAACCTCTGAACTTAACATAACTCAAATCAATGGCATGTAATATTGACAGATGAGTTGAAGAGGGCGCTTCTGTACTTGGAGCTATTTAAATTATGGCGCGTAAATAAATTGATTGTAATTTTAACCTCAAAAGTTAAGTCTGATGTGTGGTTTCAAGACAAGCTGACGCTGACACTTTTAAAAATATTCTCTAAGGGCCACTGAATGCTTTGGAAGATATTTTAACTTATTCATTGTCCATTGTTCATATTGTAGTCATCTTTCCTTCTACTCAATTTAAACGGTATAAAACTATTGACATTTACCGCCAAAATTTGAAGCACTCCAAGTTCACTCGCGACCTCTACAAAATTTCGGAGAACTTAACTGGATATTTCCTGCCATTAGGCAATCCAATCCATCTGTCAAAAAGGAAAATTCAATATGGCGTGGCGGCCAAGCAGGTTTGTTTTGAATATGTTTTTATGCGTATTTTGAATTATTTTGCTTAGAGTTTTGCTTGCAACTTTGATTTTGATTATTTAATGAAATATTTGTTGACTAGGTATCTAAACTATTGAATCGAGCAGAAACTAGATCTTTTTTTCTGTTTTTTGGCCCATGTGTAGCCGCCACGCCTTTTTGAGTGTCACGTGGTTTGGATTGCCCAATAATCGGATATCTGACGGTTGACTAAAGCTCTTCTTCAGTTTCACAGTATCACAGATATTTTTGTGACACTTTCATATATTTCAATGACGGCAATGATGGTCATATATTTTAATGACGGTCAGTTGATAATTTGACAGTCAGAAAATTCAATAGATAAAAAAAAAATGACAGGAGTGTCATAAAAATAAATGAGGTGACCGTCATTTTCATTTTGACTGTGACATGACATTGTCAGGAAAATTGGCTCATATCCCTAGTGTCTATTCTACAGGGTGTTAATAAATAGTGGGATCAAACTTCTAGGATAAATAGTACTCATTAAAATAAGAAAAAAGTTCATAGAAACATGGGTCCGCGAATGCTTAGTTTTCAAGATACAGGGTGTCAAAGTTTGAAAAAAAAAATCCGTTTTTTAGCTCAAAAATCCCTTTTCCAATTTTCTTTTTCAAATTTGGCAGGTTTGTTTGTGATAACAAAAGGTATCTTTCGAGTTTTGACTGTAATATGACTTAATCTGCAAAAATATCAAAGTTATAAAAAAAGTGACATGCCATTTTTTTCTACTTTTACTTACGAGTTGTCCTCTGGGGCGCCACTGGAATAATTACGGTAAATCTAATTGAATCAAAAGATACCTTTTGTTATTATTACAAACAAATCTGCCAAGTTCAGAGAAATTCGGGAAACGGATTTTAAAAAACGGATTTTTTTCAAACTTTGACACCCTGTATCTCGAAAACTAAGCATTTGCGAACCTATGTTTCTATCAATTTTTTTCTTATTTTAATGAGTACTATTTATCCTAGAAGTTTGATCCCACTATTTATTAACACCCTGTATATATTTTTTTATTCTGGTGATACAAAGCAAGAATTTTTGAGTCTGGCTAAAATTTTTGGATGGGTTCACAAGATCAATGAAAAACACAAGTACGCTTATTTTCCCAGACATAAATATTTCATATTTACTACAATAGAACATAAAGTATATGAAAATAGCAATTTGGCTAATCTCAGATAGTGAAAGTGAGTCTGGCTGAAAATGTTCGGATCTTAAATTTTTCACTTGCCAGACATATTATCCATACTTACAGATTAGCTAGACTATTTTTTTACGTAACTTCAGTATACTTCTCACTCGACTTCTCATAAGTAGACCTATTTTTATCACTGAGAAAAAAAAGGCCGTGCATTCGTAGGCTTTAACGCATTTTGCGCCTCAACCCATCGGAAAACCCCCTCTAAAAATATATATATTTCGCTTAGAATTACTAACCCTACAATTCTATCTCCTGACTGGGAAAATAAGTACCGAAAATCGTCACTGCCTCCTAGACTATATTTAAGGTTGGTGCTGTCAGAGGCTGAACTTATAAAAAATCCGAAAAAGTCCTTATTAGAATTCGTTTCAGAAAAATTATTTATTGTAGTCTGGATGTTAGAGGGGACAGCAAAATCAGAAGACACCCGATGACAAGTTATTTCAGAATTAACATATACTAGGTTAGAAGAAGAAGAACAAAAATTCAGTACGCAGTGTCTGACAATCTTTCCCAGCCTAACTAAACCCCTCTTATTTAGGAAAATTTTCGACTCTTTAAACTCTCTATAAGTGAATTTATTGGACAAATCCAAAAAGTCGATACTAATTGAAACCATTTTTAGGCGTTCCACAACATTCATCATTTTTTGATTAATTGAGGCTATATTTTCTGTGTAAGTAGAGTGGTTAGGGCAACCAAATTGATTGACATTAAATATATTATGCCTCAACAGAAAAGGCATATTTCTACCCTTAGCCAGTTTTTCAATTATTTTGGACAAGGTAGGTGAAAGACTCCTCCTTCCCTCCCTTATGCAATGGAATTATAATTGCTTTTTTTAGAAAACTTGAAAAGTATCCATTCAAGGCAGTGTCAGACAGCTCACCGAAAATTTTAATTGACTTGTCAGCCCATCTTAATGCCTTCTTGTTTTCTATACTAGAAAAAACTGATTTTAATTCTTATAAAGGGTCATCCAACGACTGAATACAGGCTTATTTTTGACATTCCCTGTATTTTTGAAAAAAACCAAAATAACCAATTGGCTAGAGAATTCAAAAATGGTACCTGGCGGCTATATGGTTTCCCATAAGGAGGAAGTTCATCAGGCCACTCATGACTTTACAGAACATAGCAATAAACAACCTGTATTGCTTGCCTAGGCCTAGCAGATTTTCAACTAACCTTTTGTACGAGGGGTATTTCGAGCTATTTAAAAGTAGTTTTTTTTTTATGTACCGAGAACAGTTAATTCTTTATCACCTAAAATTGGAATATTATAGAATGAAAATTATAGTCCATCTTTGAACAGGCTGAATATGCTGACATAATTTGGATTTACTGCAGATTAATTGAAACCAATGGAAAGATATAGTAGATATACTACCTGATATGTATAAGTAATCAATGTCAGTTAGTTATGTACAGGGTCATCCAACGGGGACTGAACTGGGGATTATTTTTGACTTTCCCTGTATTTTTGAGAAAATTCAAAATAGCCATTTGGAACATTTTTTCCTGGAGAACTCAAAAATGTTACCAATCATTTAAACCAAAAACCAAAGAGTTATGCCATGGATGAGCTGTTTTTTGAATGGAACACCCTGTTTTTTGTATGATTTTTGGAGAAGTCGCACTTTTTTTATATTTATTCAGTTGAAAATATTTGATATTCCGATTCCTCTTTTTATTTTGTTTCAATGTTATCAATTTTGGCTTTACCTGATTAATACATGGGAACAAAATACAAAGATTATACCCTTTTCACCTATGAACCAAATAACTGAAATAAATTATTAAGCAAAAAACAATAAAATAAAATAAAAACAGCTATCGGAGTATCAAATATGTTCCACAGAATAGACGTAAAAAATTAGACTTTTCCAAAAATCATATAAAAAACAAGGCGTTCTATTTAGGAAACAGTTCATCCATGGCGTAACTCTTTGGTTTTTGGTTCAAATGATTTTTTGGTATCATTTATGAATTGTCCAGGAAAAAAAAATCCAATTGGCTATTTCAAATTTTCTCAAAAAAAAAAAACAGGGAAAGTCAAAAATTGCCCCTGTACCTAACAGCATTGTAGAACTAACAGTCACCTGCAACTATTGATTTAATTGTCTATCTTGTGTGTTCAATTAAAATCCATCATATCAGAAGACACAAAAATCCGAGCAAAAATTCTTAACTGCGATCCACAAGAAGAATCGTTATCACCAAGAATTTTGTTAGAAGTATTGCGGGACTTCGCGCGGTAATTCGAAGGTATTTCGGGTACTTCGACGATAATTTTATGGGATTTCGCGTACTTCGATGGGAATACCTGGTATTTCGAGGTATCTCACGGTATTGCTAGGTACTTCGAAGTATTTCGGAGGTATTGCGGGCGAGTGTACACGTATTTCGGGAAGTGGTTGACCCCTCGACTTGGTAAAAGTGAAAACTTGGAAAAAGTGGAGATACATAGTAATATGGGCCAGAGCTCAATTTATTGTTAAGGGGTCAAGGTATCACAATTTAAAATTATATACCAGCCAGTTTGAAAGATCTTAGTGTACCTCACTTTAGAGCGAATCAATAATCATTTTCTCTAATAATAATTCTGCTTGTTTTGCTTGTGATTGCTTCAAGAATTGCGTTTTGTGATCTTTTATTTTCCTGTCCTCTCTGTGACTCTTTATATATTTTCGCATAGTAACACTGTATAGTGTGTAAGTATAGACTGTATAGTATAGGAAGAATCTATGTAGATTTTTTTTTTTTAGTTTCTAGGGCTTTAATAAAGTACCTACCTCGGTACCTACCTACTTTAACGGATTGGCAGACGAATTAATCTTTGCTAATAGTGGTTGAAAGTTAATTCAAATATCAACGATTTCTACCATTTTTGTGGGGTCTAGGGAGGGGTCTAGTCTGTGTGGATGACATTTATTCACCTTTTTTGTTTTCAACACAAGACTCACAAACCCCAGCCATGAGAAAGGATTTGGAATTTCTACTCAAACTTCTGTAAATAGAGGATACCTAACTAGCAAGCAATGCAGATTTTTCAATTGACAGTATGACTTGTGAGCTAGAGATAAATGCAAAACTTATCAATTCCTAAAAATACTGAAAATTTGAATCAGTTGACACTGGTCTTCTTTAAGACGATACAACCATTATTACATCATAAATATAAAATAGCAGAGTATCAAGGTTAACGATCTCTTCCTGTAAATGTCTGCTAATGAGCTTTCACTGACCACTATATGTATGGTGTCAGCTGTATGATATGGTCAGACATTGATGACGAATTATGAGTATGACTAATATTTGTCAATATTCCAATATTCAAGTATGTAGGCGAGTAAACTTGAGACTTGAAACAAACTAAACTAACCTAAATCGAAAATGTAGGTAATTTGAATTTGTTTGAATAATAAATGAATTTTGAAGGTGTTTCATCGGTTTCTACAGAAGTATTGTCTTTTCATTGGCTAATTTAATAACAATAAAGATGTTTTTGAGGGAGAATGTTATCATATTTTGATATGCTTTATCTTAAATTTCATATCAATAGGTAGTGACACGTAGATATTTTTAATTTTATTAATAAAATAAATAAAAAGAATTTGCCTAAACATGTTTTCCTACTTACCTATTTATTATTGGACTAATATATATATTTTTTTTTTGGTAAACTGGTAGAATTTAAATTTGAAAATCTATCAAATACTTAAGGTCAAATCCAATCGTTTTTGTTTAACTACTACTATTGTTAACATTTCACGCATTCCAAACTTATCTTTATTCTTTAATCTAATACCCTCGCTAATACCTAATTGATTATGATATAGGTAGGTGGTCTAATATTTTTCGTTCTTAATGTCAAGGACAAAAATACAAAGGGCTCATCAAAGGGCAACTTCTATACTTAACTATCTATGGAATAATATTGATATGTATAATGACTAGCATCCAAAACAGCATTATTCAATGCCCTTACCAAATTTCTAATTCAAGAAAATTGATCTGGCTCATAATATAACGAGCTACTACATCTCAACAAATTTTAAAAATTAGAATTAGCAGCTTCGAGTAAAGATTAAAAGCATCAGATAACTGGTTCTATAGAAGCTCACTCTCCAAAAACAAAGACTACAGTTTTACCTCAGGTTTTACTCACCATTTAAAAAAATATGATAAAGTTGTCCTTAATAATACAAAAATTCCAGTTTTATGATGATAAACTTTTCATATTCTCTGGAAGTAAAGCTATCTTCTCCATATGGAACTATCTACTGTAGACATCATTTAAGTATCCTTAACTTGAGCTGCCAGTGTGTGTCGTCATTGTATTTGTTTACTTATTTTATTTATTATTAAATTACTATAGTATAGGATTATAAATAAAAAATACTTGAAGAAAATGAACATAAAATAAAAAATTTAAATTTTAGGTTATACTCTACACTATGACAATTTGACTTTGACATCATTTGCCTGTGATTTGTGGTGTTCGTTTCGTTTGTTCAACCTTCACCGGTTGGAAATCCGGTTGTTATTCGGCCATCTTTGGTTGTATTTTATAACCGTGATCGGAGTGAGAGAACTTAACTTAAAGAATAGAGAAATCATGTAATCCTCTGTAAGATAAGATAAATCCCATAAGCCCATGCATTTATTTAATATTTTTAACGAGCGTATACAACGAGAGAACACGGGATTCGGGAAGGCGGGTCTTGTTTACACCTCTGATGCATCCCCACCCCTCCGATGGAAGGCCTTGTCATCACAACAAACATCAGTTTATGAATGAGATGCGGTTGTGGTGTCTATCTGTGCTAAGACTTTAATTTTAACAACCCTACAACATCCATTTTCCAAAGCGATTTTCTTGATATTTATCAAACGATGAATGCTTTCCAACTAATAACCTTCCTAACCAGATTTAGAGGCGATCACTATACTCACTCCTCGACTTGCAGAGGTAAATGACAAACAACTTCTAAGTATATAACGTCCGCAGTGAATCCCCTACAGGAGTAAGTGACCATGTAGTCGTACGAGCCTTTGAACACAAGGAGACTCACTCTGTCAAAAAAAGAAACTTCTGGACTGCTGACTATAAGGTAATTAGCCAATATACAGGGTGTCCCACGAGGTTTTTCCCAAATGATAACTTCGGAACGCATCATCGTATGTTCCACTGTATAATTTTTTATCATTTTCTTTAACAAAGCCTTAACAAATATGGCATTGCCGATTTTTTTATTCAATTTTCTAACGAAAAATGCCATAATATACCATGAGTTACATTTAAGATTCGAAAGTTGACGTCACTTGACCGAAATGGAAGCGAAAGTGGTGAAATTGGATGACGATAGTAGAAGCGGCATACAAAGTTACCCACATCTTCAAAATTTCAATTATATTGGATGATGCGTTCCGAAGTTATTACCTGGGAAAAACGTCGTTGGACACCCTGTATATTTTTTTGCACTTAATTTATGAAGGGCCCCCTAAAACTTCAATAGCCCCGGGCCCCATGAAAGCTTAATCCGGCCATGTGTACTCCACATTGGCACCAACAATCATTCATATGATTACGAACTTAACGGCATAACTTTGGTATCTACTGATGAACAGAGAGATCTTGGCGTTGTTTTAATAAACAATTTGAAACCAGAAGCACATAATAATATCTCAAAATGCATCAAAAAAGCTAACTCAGTGGCCTACCTGACGAAAAAAGCATTCAAGGACCACTCAGTCACTACAAACCCAAATATATGTCATTCATCAGACCCATGCTAGAGTATGCTCAGTCAGTTTCGAATTCCCACTATGTCAAGGACATTGACGCATTAGAAAGAGTTCAAAGAAGAATCATTAAAATTCCACCAGAAATTCGAGACCTCTCATACGAAGACCGTTTGAAGCGGTTCAACCTAACAACTTCACTACCTACTCTGTCAACATGAGTATATAAATATACTCTTAGTGACAAGTACAACCTTCGAGGACACTCCAAAAGATTGGAGAAAGAGAGATGTTCTAAACTCCTCAGAAGAAATTTCTTGTGCAACAGAGTGGTCTATACGTTCGTTGAACGAAGAAACAGTCGCAGCACCCAATACCAACTCATTCAAGAATAGACTGGATGGCGACCTCGGTTTATTATCGAACAGACTGGCTCATTATCCTGTATAATCCATTGAACACAACACAACTTCCGAATCGACAGTATACAGTAGCTCCATCAGTTTTACCTCCTGCTGTTTCTTAAATGATAATAATTTATTGCCAAAACCTATTCAATCGAGAAAAATCGTATTTGTTATGGACTTTGGTGAAAAAAACCTCTCTATTTGGAAAAAAATACTATGTATGTAACCGCAAAAGCTAAGGCACAATGCTCTGATGCCGAGCGGATGTGTCCTTATTTGGAAATTTTGTATTTTAGACTATTCTTCTAACTTACTACATCTTCTCGCAAGAAACCAATCACAAAACTTTGATATAGAACAATAATAAATCACTCAGAAAAATAAACCTGTGTTTTTCAAAACCATATTTTATTGTCGGAATATAAAAAAAGATAAACAGTATTAAAATAATTGGAACAACTTATAAACTCCACAACAAAAATTGTTGAATTATGTCACCTAATGTTAGTTTAACCAATAAAATATATAAAATAAACAAAACAAATAATAATTATAGGAATCAGATATAAGGAAAAATATCACGTTATCACAACAAAAAAAAAAAAAAAAAAACTAACTAAAAATTCACCTATACAACCTTACGTAAGTAGCTATTCAGTACCTAATTAAGTTTTAAACTAATAATTCACAAGCATTTGGTAAAAAATTTGCGCTTAAAAGTTAGATAATCAACAATTATTAATAATTATTCAGGATAAAAAATATTATTAATGAAAACTTAGTCCATATTTCTGAGTAACTTCTGGTGAATGAGTGGAAGCCACCGCCATAAGAAGCGGAACGTCGTTTACTTCAATCCGAAGAGTCGAAGTGAGCATTTCTATGCTACAAAACTCACTGGATAGAAGCATTTCCGCTAACGCTTTGGAGCGCACGCAAAGTTCTTGAAGTCTTTGTTCAATATGTAACATACACTAAAAACATTTTCAGTAAAATCTGTTTCAATATTAATTAACTTTTAGCTTACATATTGAGTAGGAATGTTCAATTTCCACATTTGTAATAGAGATTCCAACATGTTTGCGACCAATTGGGACATCCCAGCTCTAACGCCATTGGTTCCTTTGTCGATGACGTATGTGTGACTAGATAAAACTTGTACTTCCCTATAAGAAAAAAAGATTTTCAGACTTAGTTAATAGCTTTCCGAATGCCTGCACTCTCTATACAAAAAGCTCTGTTCCAACCGACACGAGAACGGTAATTTCCAGTCGATCAATTCATTTGTCAAGTGGGATAAACGTTCAACTTATTGAAAAATAGGTGGGCAACTGGAAATTACTGGTTCTGGAACTGTTGGAACAGAGCTTATCTACTAAAAAGTTACAAAAAAATCACTAACAACGTAAAAATCAATTCAGACGTAGGACTAGGCATAGAAAGGACCTGTCCGATTATCAGTTGTGGAAAAAACAGTTTTTGTCCAATTTGCTTTCTCTCTCAAAATTACTGTATGTTACAACATTTCAAAATATTAGAGTTCTGTAATTACCATGTATCCGTATTAGCCACAATGGCTAATGCTTCATCAACAGGTTGATCCAATAAGGAATGTTGAGCATTCATTGCCAGATTACTTTTCAACTCCGAATACCATTGTTGCTTGGAGCTTACAACCCCCTGTAGTGCCATATCGGGAATAAACGTGTCCACAATTCCTTTGATTACTGTTGAGGTGTATGGCATTGAGGATTCTTGATTATCACTAATCATAGACCTGGAAAAGTGCAAGATTTTCTTAACAATTACTAATGTAATGTTATATGATTACTGTATATTTTCCATTTCTATATTAGAAACATTAAATTTGCCACTATACTTACTTTGGCATGGGAATATCGACTATCTTCATAAGCTTCTCCAATCCAACTGGAGATGCTTCCCTTGAATCCCTCACCTCATCCGTTCCCATATCTGGACTAAATTCCAATTCTGAAGCATTCGAAGGAGTCTGCAAAGCTTCCACTTCTTCCCCGTCAGTTTCATATCCAGACAAATCCAGTTTAATATTGTTTTGCACTGTGGCAAACTTATCAAAAACTTTTTCGCCTAAACTCAAACCTTCTAATTCGATATTTTTGCTTTTCATGTAGTTTCTAACGACTTGAGGGTATTGTTGCAAATTGAATTTCACTCGAGAGTATGGTGCTACTTTTCGTATTTCGGGTGGTTCACTTTGAGCTCTAATATTCGAATTTTTGGAAGGTTTCTCACTTGGATCTATACAAAGAGATTCGTATGAAGACGAAGGATGCATATACGGGCAAATAGATTCTGATTGATTTTCACTAAAAAGTTCATAACTGGTTTTTGATAAGTTCAAAGATGAAGGTCTTTTGGCTAAAGAAACCTTTCTTTTGGCTCCAGATCCCACTTTAATATCCATCTTTGTTGGGGCAATATCTTCATCCTTTTTGAATCCAACTAATGTTTCATCTTCACCCAAAACGAATATTACGTTTTTTGATTTATTATTTTCACAATTATTATTATTTTCAACATTTTCAGTCTTTTGTTCTAACAATGTCAAATTATTAAATTTAATCGATTTAGCTAAAGATTTTTTATTTTGATTTTCATCACAATCCGCTTCAACTGAAATATTACCTAAATTAGAAGCTACTTTTGATAACTTTGGGTTTTCTGGTATCAATCCAGCTAAACCACCACTTGATTTAATTTTACTCAACCCTTTAGCTGCTTGTAGGATCAAAACTTCTTTCATTTGACTACAAGAAGGTTTTTCCTCACTACTACATCCAGGTTTAGGCGACTCGGGCACTAACAACTCTTTTAAATGATCCTCATATTTCTTATAATTTTGCTTTGATATTGAATTACTTTTAATACATAGTAACTCTGCTGTCTTATTCTCTCCTTGTACGTAAGGCCTGTAAAATTGCTTTCGCTCCACATTGCTGAATCTTATAAAATAGGTAAGAGCGCTTAATAGTTTAGAGACGTTGATTTTGTTACTTCCAGTTATCACAGTCTGAGCAGTTTTTACAGGGTGACCTATAGCTCCGTATAAATCTGTTAATTGGCTCCAGAGAGCGTTATAAGGCTGTTTGAAGTTTTTATTATAATATTCAGTTTCTAGTGGGGATGGGGGAAAAACGGTTGCTACCCAGCCGAGATGATGGGTGAGGACTGCAGTTAGGAGTGTGCTGATGAAACTGAAAGCAAAAAAATATATATTAAATTTTAAAATTTAACTCTCTAATGTAATTCTCCTTGTTTGTTTGTGATGCCAAGTTCGATAGCTAAGAATTTCTAGTCATCTTGATCAGTCATTATTTATGTTTGTCCTCTATTTTCTTATACCTATAACTGATTTAATGTTTTACTGTTAATAATTTATATGTATTTTTATCCTGTCACTACGCCAAGTATTACTGGCCTATGTTTATTTAGTTGTAAGGTACTTAATGTTTCTTGTTGTTTTTTTTTTTAATGGGTCTTGCCCGTAAATAAATAAATAAATAAATAAATAAATAAATAAAATTATCTCAACAAAGTGGAAGTTGGAGCATAATACAGCGTGTTCATTTTAAAAGTTACCACCCTCTTCCCATTTTGGATTTTCTAGGGCAGTTGAATTTTGCATACAAGCCCCCTTAAAATTATGGTTGACAGGTTTTAGGGATTTTTTCGAAAATTTTTCAACTCCGAGATAATAGGGGTGGTAAGTTTTGAAATGCATATTACTCAACAAATCTTTAATAAGAAAAATATTTAGATTCTGTAGAATTTTAGTCCCTCCCAGATGTTTGATTTCCATAATTTAGATTACATTCTGGAGAAGGCATAACTTAACCTTCCTACAATCGGGAAATAACCAGTCCTCCAAAACTGGAGATAAAATACCATCATGGAACGGTAATAGTATATTACAATTTGAGAAGAGAAATAATTGTTTTTTTTTTTTAATGCTCAGATATTAAGGGCATTTAATTTGCTATTTCGTACGGTTTATACCTAAGGATTTGGCTCTAGGGTTTATAGGTTTTCTGAGCAGTATTTCAAATGAAAATGCAATACAGTAAATGGGGTTACTAACTCCCATTTGAAACTACTGCTTGAAATTGATACAAAACTAACCCAAACCAACAATCAAGATTTTAGGCAAATTACAATTATTATCACTCATCGAACGTTTAGGTTAATTATGAATGGTTGCGTAGATTCTTGTTCTACATTTTTAAATCTGTTCTAGGTTCTAAAATACTTACAAGTTGGTATCTTTAACATCAAACGCCTCCACCAGCTCACAAAATTGCTTCAAAAATCCATCACCAACAAAATCACTATTTTCCGCAGTTTTTTTAACAACATCCTTATTTGAATCAGTCTTTAAAAATTTACTAAAATTAAATCCCATTATGTCAATGGTACTCGACACTGGTGGGCCACTAAAAGAGCCCAGAAATAAACTACGATCCCTGCTAGTATCACTGGTTTGGTTTTGAAACGACCGGCACAAATTGGCACTATTGTCACTTAAATGAGATATAAATGCATTAACACTAGTATCACAGTTGCAAGAGAGACGTTGCCACAAGTTTGTCATCAAACCTGGGGCGTTTAATAAATTCACTAACCATTCGGCAGTACTCTGGGCCACTTCCATCATGAACGAAATAAAAGAGGATGGGCGATGGTAGGCTAAAGTCACTGAATGATGGGTGCGCCATATCAAGGATTCAATTAAGGCAATGTGTTCCATTAGAAATTGGGTTAGAAATCTGAAATAAATAAACATTTCTCATTTGAAGATTGCAGTTATTTTGATGAAAACAATTTTTCATAAGAAAAATTGCCCTCAATTTAGAAAGATAATGATTTGCCAAAATACGTTGTAATCATCATTTTCATTTGAAAAACACGTTTTTCGACAATCTTGCGAAAAATTACTCTTAACAGGTGCCAAAAATTTTAATTCAAAATAATCTAACTTACTTTTCTTTTCCCGAAGGCAATTCTATGCTAATTGTCAACCCCAATTTACTTGTTTTCTGATGGTGACTTTTGTGAATACCCTCAGAGGAATTTGGCAATGATGTAGAACTACCCTGTAAGGATCTAGTAGAACTCCTGAGTAGTCTTCTAAAAATACCACTTGATGAAAAGGAAATAGCCGAAAGATCTAGAAACAAATTTAAGAAATTTTGCTAATTAGAAACTAACACGTATATATTTTTCAAAGAGAAACATTATTAAAAAAACTTAAAGTTTGAGGTTTAGTAGGTAAGTAAATTTGATTTTCAACAGTTTTCATTGCAAAGATCTAATCCAATAATCTATTTTCATTGGCTGTTAGTCAAACTGCAATTTAGGTATATTGAACTAAAAATCAATTCTCGAGTCGTTTCTTGAACTGTAAACTTCGAACTTTAATTGACTGACAATGAAAATTGTTTCATAACTCTCCATATGGAAAAAGGAAGCTCATAGAAATTCTGTGTAGTGTTTTAGTAGCTATAATATTATTAAAATTGATTTAAACTCCTACCTTTATTGGAAAATGTAGATTCCCATGTAGGAAAATTCAAAGGCCCAGTACTTAAACTTGAAAATGACTGGTCAGCACATCCAGAATCGACCACTAAACTGTTTTTTGAGCCGCTGGAAACCCTCCCGGGAACGTCTAGAGGAATGCTTTGACGCCTTCGATAAACTAAGGTGGACGAGAAAATAGGGTCAATAACATCCGCAAATATTAAATCACTTAACAAAAATAAATACCTACATATAATAAGAATTGTTTGTGAATAATTTGCGCTAAAAGTGCATACGTGCTCAAAGGCAACAGGTGTCCGATGGCGAAGAGCCAACCTTTTCATGTGAGCATGAATAAGTTAGTTATCTAAGAAAATACATTCCGTTAAATAGTGGGGAATGTAGTCCTCAGTGAATTATAGTAAATACGCCTACACCGGGATAAAATTATTAATTAATGTCTTGTTTGCTGAATAATATGTTTTGAAATTCAATGTTTTGTGTTACATATATATCTTTTTGGAGACTCACGTGAAAATACTTTATGTAATATTGGATTCTTGTGCCAAACTATTATTAATTTAACTTCTAACATTATTATATTTTATTTTGTGAGAAGTTTAACAGAAATAACTAGGTTCTTCCTAAAGTTGCAAATAATTATTTAAGTTGAAAATTCATTTGGATGGATAAGATTTTGTTGACAAGAAAAGGTACCCCAAACAAAAGTAGATATGTATTATGTTATTAAATTTTAATTTTGTGTTACTGCCAACTTTTATGAATTTTTTATTAAAGACGTCACAAAATTAAGAATTATTCTGGTTACGATACTAATACATAATTCTAAACGTCATTCAAACGCACACACATCCAAAGCAGCACAAATTTCTAATAATTTTATTTTCACCTTTGTATTACAATAAGTTATCTAAGTAAAATAACTGCACTGTAATTTTGAGAATAAATTTTGCATTTTAATCCTCACAAACAATAAGGATAAAGTGGAAATTTAACTTTTATTTCCAAGGGATTAATCGGATCCTTCACTCCCAAGGAAGCAAAATACATGAATTGATTTCATCGGTAATAGTTTATTTCCCTTGGGAATGAAACTCAAATCAATTAATTTGAGATTGATTTGAATCATCATATGCTGGATCAATTGGTATTATCAAATGTTGAATCATTAAAAATAGTTTTCTATTCTATATATATACAAAGATATCACTGGACTTTAATTGTCTTTTAATCCCTTACAGTTACAAACTTTTAGTACGAGATTAAATTGAAAGAATAATTCTAGCCCCTCTGTATATAATAATAATATACAATACCTAATTCTTATTTTCTAATGTCGTTAATCTATAAAAAGGCCAAGCCAAAGTCTTTTCAAGGTCTTTTCTTATAAATAGTTTATGTCTGTTTATCCGATTGCAAATTTAATTTTGAATTTGTAATAGATTTGAGAACACAATTTATGCAAAAAAGACATGCTCCTAAAAATACATTGAGTCCCAGAACTTATTTTGTATCAGAAACTATTGTTTTGTTATCAGTGACAACAATATTAAATTTGATAATAATTATTCAAAATTTCTATAAATAGCCAATTATCGCCTAATTCCTAATTCTAGCTTTGAAGAATCAAATGTACTGAGTAGGCAATCCAAAGTAGAGCAGAAATGGAAAACAAGTGAAGCCACAATTACCGTTTTTGACTTGTTTTTCATTTTTATCACCTCTGAAGGCTAGAATTTGTTGTCAGAAGCCCTTCTGGACTAATAGTTATCATATATATTATAAGTTATTCTTACCTAAAACAGTATCCGAAGCTGTACTTCTATCAGACAATCTGTCGCTAGTGGAAAAAGCACTATTTCTTCCAGAATCATCTAGTTTAATGGAATGTTCAAAGTTGCTTTGTGTGGATGAATGAGACTGAATGCTTGATGTTGATGAAGTTTTAGGGCGTTTACTATGAGGACTTGGAAAGACCTAAATTTATCAGATTTTTTATTCATAAAAGGTTTGTTTAGCATTAATTTTAACTCACCTGAGTAAACATGATTCGATTAGGCTCCTTGAGACTATGAATTTTTAAAAAAGTACCACGAAAACTCATTGCAACTGATCCAAAAACCATTTCAGATAGTTGCTCGTAGTCAGCATTTTTTTTGGCAACCTATAATTTTTAAACTGGATTAATTAAAAAAAATCTAGCATAATAAAGATCCTCACCACTAAATACCCATATCCGTTACAAACTTCGACGAACTTTGTATCCGTCTCCGCTTTTTCCAGCTGAATCTTTGCGGTAGCATTAGAATCGAATAGGAGTTTACGGCCTCTAAAATCGCACTCTCTGAAAAGTACCAGTCGTACTTGTTCAACACCAAATGATGATACTCTATGACTGAAAAAAATAATTATGTTCTATGAAGAGTGTATTACAGACAATTTCGGTCTACATTATTGAAATGTGATGTTTGTGAATCAAAATTAGTGAAATTATTCCAATGATTTGAGGCAAAGTTGATAGAAGTAAAAGAAATTCGCCTCAAATGTTAAGTCAACAAAAGGGGGGGAATTACACAATATTCACAAGCTTTAGATTTTGAGCAACTGTAAATCCGTGAAGTTTCTTACCACATTATAATATTCACAAAATTTCAGCAAAAATAAGTAACACATTTAACGACACACAAGTAATTATAAGAAAATTACTCTTTCAAAACAGTTGAAAAATTCTTCTCTCCAAGTTGTTATGTTTGCACAATACGATCTTCCACTGCAGTATTTCATTGAAGAAAATAATTTTTTATACTAAATCCAATAATAATCTTATCAGAAGAAACGCAGTAATACCCAACCTTTACTTGTTTATTATTAAAATTACTTCTGGCAAATAATAAAGTGGCGTCTTATGAACTTTGTGCGATATCAGTTTACGAACTTACTGGTTCATCAAATTTGGAGCAGGGGCGGTCCGCCCCCCAAGGCTTTAGAGAAAAACAATGGAGTAGACAAAAGCTCTAAACTGCTCATATCATAAAAAGCTTAAGGGGTGTACCAAAAACGTATTTTTGGTTTATGATAGATCTGTTCCAACACGCCGAAAAACCGTCCCATGATTCATGAACGGTTTCGAAGCCACTCAGTATAAGAATTTTAAATTCTACGCACAAATTTTAGGTTTTGCGCAGAATCGTAATGGTACATTGTACGGTTTTCTGCTGTGTTGGAACAAAGCTAAAATATGTAAAAAAAATCCAAGAACAACATCGAAAATCTCGCCTCTCTGCTGGATTTTTATCAAAAGATATCTGTCTTTATAGTTTGCAACAAAACAGACTTCATAGACATGACATAACAACCGCGTGGAGCCATGTTTCACCTATTTCAGTCAACCAGTGTTTAAGTGAGAGTCGCAGGATTTCATCAGAGTCTGAGTCTACGCTATCCGAGTGGTTGTGACTCTTTATCTTCAACTCCATACGATACTGGTTCAATGATTTATTGGTATATGCCACCAACCTGCAGGTAGTGGTCAACACATTTTACAATAAAATATTAAACAGTGACATCACTCTTCAACGGTTGTTTTGTGAATATGTATTTCGAAAAACTTTAGACATAGAATGGTTCGGCTTGAAATATCATTCTTAGAATTTGTTACACAGAAATTTTGATTTTTGGTTTACACCCCCTTTAAAGGATAATGGGTCTGTGTATATTCCTATAATTTTTTCTGCTTGGCCCCCTCAGACAACATGTCTGGCTGCGCCACTGATTTGGAGTGTTGACTTTTTGTTTATTGCATAAGTCCACATGATTTATTGTTATTATTAATTATTATTAGTCTGACAGTAGGCGGAAAGAATAAAAACTGCCACTTTGTAATCATAACAATCAAACTTAATAATGTACATATTCACGATTCACATGTGTAAGGTCTCTATCCAGTCTGTTTTTGAAAGTGTTCAAGGATAAGGCATCCACAGTGTCAGGGCTGAGTGTGTACCATACATATACTAACCGGTTGGTAAGGAGGTTCTCTTTCTTTTGAGAGTTTTTTGGAGTGTCCTCTAAGCATCGTTTCGCCTCTCGTTACAAAGATATTTAGTTGGACACTATAGTATCCAGACATTATTTTGTGGGTCTGCATCAAGTCGCCTCTTTGCTGGCGTTCTCTTAGAGTGGGTAGCTTTCATACGGAAGTTCCTTCAGTTCGGTTGGTATTCGTGGTACACATTACTCTTCCCACGATGTGGCTTTCTCATTTAGGATCTTTTGTGACAACTACTCCAAGGTCCTTTTGGTGGTCGACCTCTTTGAGGGCTTTTCCAAAGAGGGTGTATTGACTATTTGGGTTGTTTGGACTGATATGCAGCAATATGCAATTTTCGACTTTCCTTGTACCCATTAAGAAAGTCGCTGGCTTGGAAGGATTAAGATGACAAGCTCAGAGTCGGCCAGTTTATTTCCGGATAGTAAAAATCCCCAAATGAATCTGATAAGGTTAATAGTTCCCCAAAGGCCAATTTTTGACAATATTACTATATCTACAAAAATTATTTGTATGTACATTACCATCCATTTATTATTAGAAGTTTTCAAAGATTAAATTTGAGAAAAAAACCTCTCAAGATCAACTATCGATTTTAAATCAACAGCTTCCAGAATTGTTAGCAAAATTAATTTTAGGTTCTTGTTCGGGTTCTTGGCAGTATCCAGTATCAAAAAAATTAGGACAGCATAAGGCTTGGACTAGATAATTATCTTTGACTGAACCGTATCTTCAGGTTTTCTGGAGATCTGGTACTGCAACAGTCTCAAAAACATTCCTAATAATGCAGAAGCTTTTTTTAACAAGGGAAGAATCGTAAATTATTTGTTTATTTATAATGATGGGACTATATGGATCTGGCAACTGTTTATGACTGTTTAAACATTTTTTATAACTGTTCTTTATCACAAAATAACTTTCCAATATTAAGTCCTCTTCAATATAAATATCAATGTCTATCAACTTAGCGAGACAACTTCGAAAAATCGATTTTCCATTATGCCAAGAATTTGCCGCTTTTTTGCCGCTAATTAAATGTGGAATTAAAAAATTTGCCGCTCTTTTGGTTTTTTTCTTAATTACGTGTTTTGCTAACTTGACGTCAAGATAGCGAGACAACATCACTAAATATGTCAGCACTAAAAAACTAGGTACGTGAAAATTTGCCGTTTTTTTGCCGCTAATTAGTTGTGAAAATCAAAAATTTGCCGGTTATTTTTTTTTTTCATAAAAAATAAAGTTTGAAAAAAAATCATTTGTTTCGCTAACTTGACGTCAAGTTAGCGAGACATTATCACCAAAAATGTCGGTAATGAAAAATTGAGTGAATGGGAATTTGCCGTTTTTTTGCCGCTAATTAGTTGTGAAAACCAAAAATTTGCCGCTTTTTTTTACAAAAAATCAAGTTGGAAAAAAAATCATGTGTTTCGCTCAAGTTAGCGAGACAATATCACTAAAAATGTCGGTAGTGATGAGTTGAGTGAATGGAAATTTGCAGTTTTTTTGCCGCTAATTAGATGTGAAAACTAAAAATTTGCCGCTACCTTTCTTTTCATAAGAAAATCGTGTTCGAAAATAAAATAGTGTTTTCCTAATTTAACGTGAAGTTATCGAGATCACTAAAAATGTCGGTAGTGATGAATTGAGTGAGTGGAAATTTGCCGCTAATTATCTCTTTTTCTACAAGAAAATATCGCGTTTGAAAAAAATATCATGTATTTCGCTAACTTGACATCAAGTTAGCAAAACAGTAAACAGTATCAATAAAAATGTCGGTAGAAAATTTCATTCATCTGTCAAAACTGGTATTCGAACCATAAACTTGGCTCTGTGTCATTTGCGCGACAGTCGTTTGCGCGAGGGAGAAAAGCGCCATACTAAAAGCGCGAGGGACAAAAGCGCGACGGAACAAAAACTCGACTGCATAAAAGCGCGAGAAACAAAGGCGCGAGCGAGAAAAGCGTGAGAAACAAAAGCGCGAGGGACAAAAACGCGGGAGAAAAAGCGCGACGGAACAAAAACGCGACTGTAGTAAAGCACGATTGGACAACAACGCGAAGTATCTAACTATCTACGAGGACTGTAAGCAAAAGAGGGACACATCAAATTGTATCAATAAAATTCAGAAAAATGCAGCCTTACTCAAACTAACCCATACTAACCTGTTCCCCTAGTGCGATCTAGTCTTCGTTAAATAGAATTTTATTTGAAAAACCAGGCGCGGTCAAGGGACCCTACGCTATAAATAAATTGACTGTTTTTTTGGATAAAATGCTAACTTATGAGTACTAGATCGCACTAGGCGGACGGGTTATTTTGGGTTAGTTTGAGCAAGTCTGTATTTGCTTTATTATTATTGGTTCAAATTGATGTCGCAATACAGACTTACTCAAACTAACCCAAAATAACCCGTCCACCTAGTACGATCTAGTCCTCGTAAGCATTTTATTTAAAAAAACAAAGTTAATTCACTGATTGATTGCTCAGGGTCTCTTGAGAGCGCAGTGCTTTTTAAATAAAATGCTAACTCATGAGGACGAGATTGCCCTAGACGGACGGGTTAGTTTGGGTTAGTTTGAGTAAGTCTACATAATTTTGATATTGGAACAATTTGATGTTTCCCTCTTTTGCTTAGAGGTCGTCGTTGTAAATGTCGCTCTTTTAATTTTTCACTGTTCTAAATCTCGTTCTTTACATATGTCGCTCTTTTGATATGTTGCTGTTTTTTTTAGATGTCGCTATTTTGAATAGCGCTGTTCCAAATGTCGCTATTTTGATATATCGCTTTAACAATATGTCGCCTTTTTGATGTTGCTATTTTAAATATCGTTCTTTTGAACCGGAGCCACCGAAAATATCTTGTATTTTGGAAAACGATGTCCAGTTCTCGTAGTAAGGCACTTCACGTTCTTGGCCAATCGCGCTTTATCCAGTCGCGATTTTGTTCTGTCGCGCTTTTGTCCCCTCGCGCTTTTGCTTCTAGCGCTTTTATCCAGTCGCGTTTTTGCGCAGCCGTGCGCTTTTGTCCCTCGCGCTTTTGTTCCTCGCGCTTCTATCCAGTCGCGTTTTTGTCCATCGCGCACTTGTCCTGTCGCGTTTTTGTTCCGTCGTGATTTTATCCCTCGCGCTTTTCGTATCGCGCTTTTCTCCCTCGCGCAAACGGTTGTCGCGCAAACGGTTGTCGCGCAAATGACACAGATCCCATGCATAAACTGGCATTTTTTAATTGTTGATTTCAACCAATCAGATTACGATTACGTGATAATTTGTACTACACCTTTTCCATAAGTATTTCAGAATGTATCACTTGTATTTCAGATTCATCAATTCTAGTTCAGAATGCGTCA